GGGGGGGGGGGGTTATAAAACTATTAAAATTTTTGCCCGGCTGCGTGAGACGAGGTAAGACCAGGTATGATTGACGTCTGTAGCTTCCTGTACTGTGCGTCTGGTATGCGGGGCAGTCCACAGTTTCTGCTTACGTCATCAAAAATCTGAGACGAGAACAGGTTCGGTTTTTATATGAATTTTATCAAAAACGCAGTCGAAATTAGACGGCCACCTATTGTGGAGGAGGTGGTCGTTCGAGTAGGTTCGGCCGTACTTGGAATTGTAGAGGCCGGACATTACAAACTTTGTGTAGAGGCCGGACATTACAAACTTTGTGTAGAGGCGTACATTACAAACTTTGTGTAGAGGCCGGACATTACAAACTTTGTGTAGAGGCCGGACATTACAAACTTTGAATTGTAGAGGCGTACATTACAAACTTTGTGTAGAGGCCGTACATTACAAACTTTGTGTAGAGGCGTACATTACAAACTTTGAATTGTAGAGGCGTACATTACAAACTTTGTGTAGAGCCGTACATTACAGACTTTGAAAGTAATGTGATTTCTGAATACGACCTACTAGTTTTATGTGGAATGTATTGGGTGTTTTCTAGTTTTAGTAGAGGTTTTACGGCGCTCGCGACTGCATAAGGTCATATGAGCGCCTTATTGGGTGTAATGTAGGGTTGTTTATGTTATGAGGAATTGACCGGTATAACGTAAGGTTGTTTATGTTATGTGGAACCTATCGTGTGTAATGTAAGGTTGTTTTTATATCATGTTAATTTTTAATGCTATTTGGAATCTATCGGGTATAATAAAGGGCTGTTTATTTTCTGTTAATGTTATGTGGAATCTATCAGGTATTATACAGGGTTGTTTGTGTTATGTGGAATCTATCGGGTATAATGCAGGGTTGTTTATGTTCTGTGGAATCTATCAGGTATAATGTAGGGTTGTTTGTTATCAGCTACTTCTTCGACCTTGCAAAATCTGTAAATGTGGTCTTTGATACTGTCCTATGTTCGTTTGTAGAAGGACAGACAGACAGACAGACAGTGATACAGAAGTTCCCCGTTTAGTATTACCTGCGTGACGTGACAGTACGATGACTCAATGTGTGTTTGCTAGTGCTCTCTGTCTGTGTGTTTGTTAGTCCTCCCCGTCTGTTTCGAGACCTCTCACCCTTCCACACACGCTACAGCTGTTAACTTTAACACACCGGCCCACTACATATTGCGTTTGTTATCATCAAACACCACCCGGGAACATAGTGAGTTTGTTATCATCAAACACCACCCGGGAACATAGTGAGTTTGTTATCCTACACTTCAAGTTATTGCCACAGTTTGTGTCTCCACGACGCCGGAAGGTCGTTGCCATGGTAACGCCGCCATTGGCCTTGGCGGGGCCGGGAGGTCAGGGAGGTCAGGGATTCTTCTTTTCCGTCATTTTTAAAAGGATTTCCCCCCTTTTTTCTGTTTTGTGAACAGTTCTAGATCTATCTATACTTTCTCCGACAGTTTTTCCCTCAGTGAAACTTGTAACTGTAGGCCTTGGAAATGTCGTCTGTGGTATAATGTGAAGGCTGTTTGCCGTGCTTTTAAAAGACAGGAATTCGAGTCCTATCTAAGGTCCGTGGGTGGTTGGCGGGTGCTCTGGTGTGGTTTGCTTCTTCTTTCCTATCAAACATCTGTCGTCCATATCTCCCCTTCTTCTTTTTTATGTTTGTTACTCCCTTGTACCACCTCTAATCTTCTGGCGCTCATATAACCTCCTGCAGTTGCGAGCGCCGTAAAACTTCTACTAAAAGGTGTTTTTTTTAACGGGCTTGGATCCAGTAGTGTCTTTGTCCTGGGGTATGTCCCTCCCTACCTGGGTTGGCTGTACGAGGCGGGAGGAAAAGGGCCTGTCTGTGAAAATAGTTGGGGTTTTTTTAATTAACAAAACAATGTCGATAAGGGTTTGGGTTACATTTCCATTTTGCTTTGTGTTGTTAATGTACCCCC